TAGACGGTAGTGGGTTTTGATGTTTGTGGTGTAATGAGTTTTTCGATAGTGGTGAATGTCGACTACTATTAGGTATCTATGGTAATTGTTGTTGGTGTTGCATAACTATTAAATTTACTTGCAAGTTGTGAGATGTGGTAGGGCGGTTTGATGTTTTCTTTGAGATATGAAGAGTTGAAATTTTGAACATTACCACTGTTTTTATTGTGAATGGTGGTTGTTTAGAAGATAATGAGGTGAAATTAGATTTTGATTTAGAGAGAAGGTGGCCTAAATATGGGTTGGTTAGAGATTTTGTTATTTAATTTTATCTATTTATTTTTGTAGTACTATTTTTATTATTTTTGGATACAAACATTTATTGAATATTTTTTTTGAACTTTTGAATTTGGATTTGATGGTGTGAAGTTTATAATTGCCACATGTTTGACAATAAGGCCTATATGATGATGTCATGTGTGTAGTTAACGATCACATCAGTCTAGAATTAACGAAATGACTCAAATAGAAAAAAAAATTTATTTATAAGATGGTACACTTAAAATAGTAAGATTAAAGTTTGCACACTCAACTATAAACATTGACAAGTTTGTATACCAAATATATATATATATATTTGGTTGTTTGAGCTCACAATTTGATGTTACGTGTGAAGTTAATGGTCACATCGAGTGTAAAATCAACGAAATCGATGAAATTATATATATATATATATATATATATATATATATATATATATATATATATATATATATATATATATAAAACTTTGTATCAAATAATAAAAATTAAAGTTTATATATTCAAATAAAAAATTAATGACTTTGTACCCTAAAAATTTAACTAACTCTATTATAAATATGAGTACATGTTGAGCATCTATTAAATCCAAGAAAATGAGATCATTAGTCATTCATTATAATATAATTTCATTTGACATGTTAATATAATCATCTATGTTGAATATCCGTAACTAAAAAATATAAAATAAAAATTTGGTTGATCGATTATTTTATGCATGCCAACCAATGGATAAATGAAATGTCCTCTTATGTCTTCGAAAACTACGAGCTAGAATTGGAGAAATTCTCGCACTCGAACCATGCACCCCAACATTTATTAAAGAACAAGAGTACATTTATTAGTGTGTGATTAGTAGATTATACGATGATATTATAAAGAGTTACTTATATTTTTGGTATATATAATTGTTAATTTTTTTTATTCTATTTTAATTTTGTCAATTTTAATCTTTACTATTTGAATATACTAAGTTGTAATTTTTTTCTGTTTGAATAGTTCCGTTAACCTTTGTTAACTTTATGCCGATGTTGCTATTAATTGCATAGTAGCACCAAATTATGGGCCTTCATTGTCAAATGCGTGGCAACCAAGGAAAAAGAGAGTTTATTACATATTTAGTATATAAACTTATCATTTTTTCTATTTAAATGTATAAAATTTAATGTTATTATTTCAATGTATAAACTTATAAATTTTTTCTATTTGAGTGGTTTCGCTAATTTTAGGCTAATGTGTTTGTTAGATGTACACGTAGCATTGTCGTGTGGGTCCATTATTAGACACATAGAAATTAAAAAAAAAAGTATAAAAAATAAACAATAAAGAGCAACAATCCATTCTAATTCTTACATAGTAACAAAAAAAAAATTACATGGGAGAGAAAGACTTTTTGGTGCCCAACTTTTTATTTTTTATTTTTTTTTAGTGTCCAATCGTTGATTTCTATTGATTTGCTACTCAAGTTTTAATTTTTTGTTTATTTTGATACTCGACTTCACCTAAAGTTCAATTATACTAACGTGTTTGGCAAGAGCTGCCATGTGACAATAAAAAAATGTCACCCGGCAATCAACTCTAGACATATCAGCACATTGTGCTCTAAGGTGGTTGTAGGCACTAAAATAGGAAAAAAAAAAATCAAAGGTTAAACGTTGAAATTGAAAAAGAATTAAAGGTTGAACAAAAAAAAAACCAGTTTTTTAAAGAAATTTATTGTCTTAAGATTGCAAAATTAGTCTAAAATTTTAACTATTTCTAATAAATATTTTTCATATCATACTCGTGACATTTTTTCACTTATCAAATATCATTTTTTAACACTCTATATCGGTTAAAAATTACTTTTAAAAAATTTCAAATCCCTTTAGTTGTCTAGAAAAAATCAATATTATGTTATTTAATCCAAATATATATAAAATTCAATTAAGAGTAAATCTAGAAAGAAAAAAAAGATATACAAAATTCAATTATGATTGTCATTAATGGAATAAATGGTTGGTCAATAGAGAAATTAAAAAAAAAATTTATTTCTTCTGTTTAGGGAGAAGATTGACCAACATATAATAAGTGGCATAAACTTTTTGTAGCCAATAACTTACTAAAATTTTTATATTAGTCCGAGATGGGATATAATCGAAATGAATAAGTTTAGTAATCAAGCTATTTGATTTGGATTTTTAAAGTGAACTACTTTTGGTAGTGGTGATGATAATAATAGAGGTAATAAGTAAAGTATGTATCAAGTTAAGAAGAATACATTGTTAAAATTGCTTGTGTAATTAGCATAATAACAAGAAAATATGCATGCATGTAATTGTTGATGTTCTTAGAATTTCAAATTATATGGCTTTCAACATCTAAAAAAGGTTTTGAGATTATAAAGCACAAGATATGCATAAAATCTACTTATAATAAGAAAAAGATAGATCAAAGTACAAGAAGATAATAGACATTTGGTGTGAGAAAACTAAAATAAATTTCCTAAGAAAATTACATTTTTGGTGTCCAACAATTGATTTTTTTTTTTTCCGTTTAGGTGCCCAATCTCTAATTTTTTTTTCTATTTCAATGACTAATTATTTATTTATTTTTTTCCTGTTTAAGTGCCCACAACAACCTTAGAGCATGAGATGATGACGTGTTTGGAGTTGACTACCACGTGGTTCTTTTTTACCGACACATTGTAGCTCTTGTCGGATATGTCAACAAAATTAAATTGCAAGTGAAGTCCGGCACCAAAACCAACAAAAAATCAAAGTTTGGGTAGCAAATCATTAGAAATCAACGGTTGGGTATCAAAATAGAAAGAAAAAAAAATCAAAGGTTGACCACCAAAAAAGCTTTTCTCTCATTAAATAACAACAATAAAATATTTATGGTTTTACATAAAAATATTTTTTTAAAAACAAAAAAATTAATTAAAAATAACCGAGATAGAATAGCTAAACTCTAAATACCAAATTTCACAGCAAAAAATTTCATCTTCAAAGTTTATTTGAACATCAAATTAAATATTGAATTCTTTACACGGTGTAGATTTAGCCAATTTATGTTTCGAAATCAAGTGGGTTAACTGCAAGGAGCTCTAGGACATGTAAAACTTGTTCGTGGTGATGGTTGGAAGTCGATGCGGTTGAAGTAATAGTAGTTCTTTGGAAACTACTAGCTCGATTATGTCTTCTTCCTTTTCTTCCTCTTTTATGTTATTGATCAATAATTATTGTTCATCCATTTTTCTTTATTTTTTTTTAAAGTGGTTTGATAGTAGTTATCGATTCTAATATATGGTAGTGGGTTTTGATGTTTGTGGTGGCAATGAGTTTTTTTTATGGTGGTGGATGTGGGTTTACTATTAAGTATCTATGGTAATTGTTGTTGGTGGTGCATAACTATTAGATTTAATTTCAAATTGTGAGATGTGGCGGGGTGGTTTGATGTTTTCTTTGGGATATGAAGAGGTGAAATTTTGAATATTATCATTGGTTATATTGTGTATTGTGGTTGTTTGGAAGATAACAAGGTGAAATTAGATTTTGATTTAGATAGAAGGTGGCCTAAATAAAGACTCGGTTATAGATGTTTCTTATTTATTTTTCTAGTAGTATTTTTATTATTTTTGGATCCAAATACTTGTTAAATATATATATTTTTTTAATTTTTAATTTGGATTTGGTGGTGTGAAGTTTTTAATTGCCATATGTCCGACAATAAGGTCTATATGACGATGCCGGATGTATAGTTAATAAACACACAAGTTTAAAATTAACGAAATCACTTAAAATTGAAAAAAAATTCAATGTGGTACACTTAAATATAAAATTAAAGTTTATACACTCAAATAAAAATATTGAAAGATCTAATAATATATATATATTTTTGTGGTTGCCACATGTGCGATAGTTAAGCTCATAATTTAGTATTACGTGTGCGACTAATGATCACGTCGGTATAAAGTTAATAGAAGTTAACGAAACTACTCAAATAAATGAAAATTACAATTTGATATATTCAAATAATAAAAATTAAAGTTTATATACTCAGATTATAAAAAAAATTAATGACTTTGTACACTAAAAATGTATATAACTCTATTATAAAAATGTATACATGTTGAGAGTATATTAAATCCAAGAAAATGAAATCGTCAGTTATCATTATAACATTTTAATATAAATATCTATGTCGAATATCTGTAACCAAAAAATAAAAAATTAGGTTGATCGATTATTTTATGCAACACCAAACATTGGATAAATAAAATATCCTCTTAAGTATTCGAAAACTCGGAGCTAGAATTGGAGAAATTTTGCACCGAACCACGCACCTTAACATTTATTAAAGAACAAGAGTAATGTACTAAGAAACATTAAATGAAAAAGAAAAACTAAGATCTCTTCTTACATATTGTTATCGATAGATTTGATACATGCATGAATTCTATTCATCAACATGGGATAACATATCAATTATGTAGCTACTATTTATACCTTTTATTTTCAGGGGGGAGAACGGAAAAGGATAACTTAGCGTATGAAAAGAACAAAAAATTAACAGGATCAATAATTCAGGTACAAAAACATAATTTCCCAGCCGCACTTTCGGTTTATTTAGGTCATCAAACGTATTCCCATAATCTGGTTGCAGTCTTATTTTCATGGACTAATTAGAGGCCTTGGAATGATCAATAACTGAGCTAGGAAAGGAAGGTGGAGGTTGATGATAATTGGCATGGCCAACAAAGTTCTTTTCATTCAACGAGCAGTGGCCACTTCCGCCTGGGTTGTGCGAGCAAGGGGAACCCACAGATGGTGGCACTGGACCCCGTTGGAGGGACTCAATATGTGGAAAATGTTTTTTCAACCATTGCTCTCCGTGTATAGGCCTCATGGCTGCACCAAATTGTAGCGCGCTTAAAGCGAACAAAATGGCGAACAATATGGAAAAAAATGTGACATGACTCTTTGTGTTAAAGGCCATCTGTTTTTTCAATGAACTTCAGGACTCTGTTGCAGTTTTCTGATGAGTAAGAGAAGGGGGATTGGAAGAGAATGGGTTGGAGTAGAGAATTGATATTAACATCTATATATATATATATATATATGTCTTGCGTACGAGGCAGGGTTTTTGCTTGCTCGACTGGTAATTGGTTAATTGACTGGTGCGGAAAATGCTTGGATGTTTACAATTGAGTTGGCCACGAATTGATGAAGTTTGAAATATAGTATGGTCTAAAATCTGAATCACACGGAGCCTTGAATAACAAACAGTTTTTCCAATTCAAGACGGATTAAAAATACATGATCAGACAAGTTATTGACCGTTTCCATGTGATATGGAAGGAATGAAAGAAAGTAAACACTTAACAATTTCAAATTCCTTGAATTATAGGACGATTAGACTTTGATTTAGAAATAGTAATGCAGAATCCAACTCGCTGAGTCCTTCGAGGGAATGAGTGATCGATGACTGAATTTTTTTCATAGAGGTAGGAAGATAGTTTATAACAATTGACAAACATCCTTTAACCCTTAAACAAGTATTAAGATCATTTGGCTAGGCTAATTCTGAGTGTATACAAATGATTCCGTTCTCTTTGTAAATTTTTACGCCAAGGCCCTTGTTTTAACTAAAAAAAAAAAAAAGTCATTTGCAAAATTTGTGATTTACAAGATAAGAGAGTTTAGGAGAATATACATCGAGAAGGACATGGCTACTTTACAGTCCAGAAGAACCCTTGAATTTGAACGGGAACCTCCAGTTCAAAAGTTTCACATGCTTGTGCTCAAGAGTACTGTGTGTTTCTTGAATCCATGTCATGAAATCCATGAGGTGGGTCCAGGCCCAAAGACTGGAAAATGGGAGCAACCCGGTCATCTAGCGTACGGTGCATGTGGTCCGCGCGGAACGGTGATTGACTTTGATTAGCGTATGCAAAATGGTCAACAACACGCAGGCATACCTAGGACTATATTTTTGGCAACTTGGATGCCGCAACTTTAGTTATACAAGCAAATACGTGCCCTCGCTTCGCCGCGAGGACGTTCATATTGTTCGTTTAGATTTTTGAATGAATTGTATAAAAAAAATAAATCAAATTTAATTAAAAAGGTATAGATTGATTTTAATTATAAAGAAATATTCAAAAAATATCATATTGATAAAAGTTAAATAGCAAAATAATAATCTTGTGAAGACAAAAACGGTTGTACCTTACAAATCAGGAAATTATCATTTTTGAATCTGCATATTTATTTATTTTATTTTATTTTAATTCAAGAGTAATATAAAATGAGTTTATTTATACATTTGATTAAGACCAGTTTTTAATTGATAATGTGGTTAAATGTATTAAGTCTTTACTTTTTCTTTTCTTTTCTTTTTTTAATAAATTTAAAGATATATTATTGAAGAGGATTTACAATAATTGAAAGTTATAAATATTAAAGTAGTAATAAAAAAGTTATATAAATTTTTGAAATAAGAGATGAAATGAGAGAAATTAAAAAAGAATCAGTTATATTTAGATATTATAAATTATAAATATGACATATTTGAAATAATTATTTATATAACATCAAGGATGTGTGAAATTAAAGGAAACAAATAAGTTAAAAGATAATTAAACATTGTTATATAAATAATTATTTCAATTTTTTATGGCAAAGATTTTTTTTCCTAGTATACTTGGAGGAGAATTTTTTTTTTTTCAAATGTTGACGTTATTGATGAATAAATACATAAAATAACATTTACTATTATAACATGAATGTGTTTCGAACAAAAAGCAAAAATATCATATTTAATTCATTCAAATTTTTAATTGAATAAAAAACACTTCAAAAAATTTTGCAGTGATGATAGGAAATATCTGAATAATAATATAAGTGAAAACCAAAAGAAAAGCAGAATTTACAAAAAGGAAAAAAAAAAAAGTGAAGGAGGAGGAGGAGGAGGAGAGATTGAGGTGGGCCGACCTAGCACGCTAGGCCTGCACTCGCCGAAAAAGTATTTATGATCATTTTTTAAAGATTTACCAACTGCACCACGTCGGAAATTCCTTTTTTAAAAAAATTAAAAAATAGACGGAAGACGCGTCACTCGTGTCCTCTTCTCACCAAAAAGTCGTGCCTTGCAAGCTTCCCCCCAGTTATTATTATTATTATTTTGTTTTTGGATAAAAACAACTACTCATCATCCAAAATTTTTCCATAAATTCATTCACAACATCAAAATTCAATTTTTTTCATATTGAAATACAAACAACTGAATCAATTTTTAATTTTTATCTCTCAATAGTAGCTTTAATCTATCTTTATCGACCATTTGTTAACTCTTAAGTACCTATAATTAATTTTGAAAGTTTAGATTTATGAGATGGAAGTTAAAATTGATATATTGTTGGCCGAAAACCGACCTTCTCTTGACTTTCTTTCTTCTTTTCCATCCTCCAATCACCTCTCTCTCTCTCTCTCTCTCTCTCTCTCTAGGAGCAAGAGTTAGGGACTTTTTGAACATTTAGCTATTTATTAATAAGGATTGGAAATAACACCACTAACTAGAAGAACTAAAATGAAAATTGAATAAAAATGATGTCGTTTTGCTGCACTCTTTGTGCCAAAATGATGTAGTTTTCGGGGGACGATTACTGTTCATTTTGAACTGTAAAAAAACTACTCAATTTTAGTTTTTATGACTAAGGGTGATTGTATTTTAACTTTTTTAGGCACACATTTTCTACACGTCCTTTTGTTAAAATAACTCTAGTGTTTCATAAACATTCACTACTTCGTACTCTATCTACTTAAATTAAACTACATAAAAATTGATATGTTCTTTATTTCCATTTTGGTATATTGTTTCTATTTTTCTAAATAACTTAAAATTATATTAACTTTAATTGGATTGTCAATTAGCATACGTGGTACCAGTTACCAAAAACTAATTGTGGTTGTGTTTTATAGAAGGAGAATTTGTTTTTTTAGAATTTGTTTTTTAAGAAATAAAAACCGTAAAAAACGAGTTTATTATCTGAAAATAAAAATTCCTTTAGTTTTCTTTCATGAAAAAACACACGTTTTCATTTTTTTTTAACATAACAAAAACACCTCTTTTATATCTAAATTTTTAAACTCGTGTTGATTGTAGTTTTTATTAATACAAAAACTCTCTCTTTAATTTTTGATTTTTAATAGATCGACAAGTCAAACAAATTTATTGTATTATACTTTCCATCTTATATTTTTATTATATTGTTGATCATGAAAGAAATGATTACATAAATAATATTAAAGGCTCATCTATGTAATAAATTACATGAAAAAAAATAAACTAAATTTAATTAGTGTGATGTTATAAGAAAATAATATCATTAAAAGTTAAATAAATAACCATAAATAAATAAAAATTATATAATTTTTTTTAAAAAAAATTATCTGAACATGCTTTTCAATTTTCAAAGTGAAAAAACAATTTTTCAAAGATTATTTCGTTCCAGATAGTCATTTGTTTAATTGGTGGTTTGGAGATAGAAAATGAAAAACTATTATCTATAACTAAACAACCCTTAATATATATATATATATATATATATATATATATATATATATTCACGCAGTGGTTTATTTTTGGATGAACGTGGAAGAACATGAGTATAGAAACAAAAGACTTCTACCGAGAAAAGTTTAAGGTACTAATTTATTTAATTAATTAATTACATTACTTCATATTTAAATAAAAAATAATGATATCCAATTAAATGTAATAATGAATATTATTATTTTTCTTTCAAAAATCATTTACATGGGATAATAACATCGAGAGCAAAGTTAAGAAAGCATTGGCAAGTCCGGCATGAAAGCAATATTCGACTTTCTTTGTTGTCTCAAGAGAAGTCCGAAGCTAATATTTATCTTATAAGACATATGAAATGCATGGAATATGGAATGGGCAAAACCCGAGGCCATTGTCCGATCCGAGATAGCATCGTAGAATTGTAGGAGCAAGACTAGTGGCATAGGAATTGGTCCTTAAGACATACGAGGGGGTCTATCAACCATAGAGAGAATGCAATACGCATAGTAAATATATATATATATATATATATATATATATATATATATATATATATATATATATATATATAATAATAATAATAATAATAATAATTTTTATAATGATATCAAAATAATTAATTAGATATTTGAGTATATTTAATATATTTACGTATATTTGTTTCAACATGAGTTGTTGGGTCATGAATATGATCCTCACGAGGTTTTCTTGAGGACTCATTAGAGAAAAACTCGAAGATTAATATGTCTTCGTCGATCAATGATCAAGACTCATCAATGTAAGTTATTAGTTTATAATGTTATTTCATACATATTAATTTATAACGTTATTTCACACAACTCGTTTAATATTATGTCTTTTACAATTATACGGAGACCGTAGAAAGATTAATAAATGAGGAGGAGGTTGCTAGTCGACGGACGGGGGATTTCATCGACCGGCATAAACATTAATGAGATTTTTAGAAGGGTCGTTAATGGAGGAGATAGTAAGAGAAAGACGATATACGGTCTTACGTCAAGAGAGCCTTCAATTTGGCAACTTCGCAGTTAAATGTTGGTGATGAGGCACAACGAAAGGAAAGTGAGGATTGAACTGCCGCAAATATGCAAGAGATCCGGGAGCTATGAGGTACTATCACAACGCCGTTGGCTACAACAAATGAGTCGAAAGAGTACACTCAATAGCAACATGTGATAATGATACGGATGTTCCTGCAGACATTTTTAGCAAGGTAAACCGATGTGCTTAACATTGACGAAGACTCCACCCAACCTCTAGACGATTCCACCTAACCCCCAAGTGACAATCCCGCCAATCTCTTATTGCTATCATATTTTCTTGTAATAACAATAAACTTTCTACTTTTTTAAGAATTTAATAATTGAATAATATTTATTATATTTTAATAAATTTTATAATAAAAATTATAAAATTATAAAATATTATGTTTTTGATATTTTATAGACTTTTAAATTGCAATTGGTTAATTTAAAATGTTGGTAAAAAAAAACTAAAAATAATAACTTAGTGACCGAAGCCTACGTTAATTGTATAATTATAGCGACGATCATAAACCGTTGCTAAAATCGTCGTTAAATTGTGACAGTTTTATGAGGGTTTCGCTATACCGTTGCAATTTTTTCTTGCTTCTACTATAATTTTCTGTGCTATTTTTTTTTTTTAATTTTGTGACGAGTCCCAAAACGAGTCGCAAAATTTTAGCAACTGAAATTTTACAAAAGGTTTTCGAACCGTTGCTAATTAGAATTAGCGATGGTCTAGACCATCGCTAATTTCATTATTTTTTGTAGTGGAGGTTGAAATGGGTTTATCAAAAGCTAGCATTCTCATGACTTTATCCTATTTTTTCATTCCTCCAACCACCTCCCTCTCTCTAGGAGCAAGAGTCGCCGACTTTTTTAAACATTTAGATATCTATCAATAAGGATTGCAATTAACATTATTAAATAGAATGATTAAAATAAAAATTAAATTAAATTAATATGGTTTGTTGCACTCTCTTTTTCAAATGATATTATTTTTTCGAAAGTCTTACTCTTCATTTTGAACAATAAAAGAACTCATCGAGTTTTATTTTTCACTAGTCATTTGCCCACGCGACGCTGCAGATCTAATAGAAACAATTATTTTAAAATTTCTTAACTATAATTTTTTATTTAATTAATTTTTTAATTTTTTATATTTAAAAAAAAATAAATCATTCTTCTTTATGGATTGGTTTTAAAATAAAAAATATAGTAATTTCAACTAAAATATTAATCAAGAATTAAAAAAATTTAAAAATATAATTTTCATAATATTTTATTTTAAAAAAATAAAGTTATAATTAATGGACGAGACTTTCACAAAAATTAGCAAAAAAAA